AAATAGAAGGAAATAAAGAACTACAAGTAAATAAAAGGAAATAAAGAAATAGAAGTAAATAGAAATGGGGCTGGGGATATAGCTCAGCAGCACAGTGCCTGCCTGGTAAGCACAAGGTCCTGAGTTTGATTCCTAATACCCACAAAAAAAAAAAGGTAAATAGAAGAAAGGAAATAATGCAAACCAGAGTTGAAATCAATAAAACAGAAAAACCCTGGAGAATGAGACCAAAAGCCAAGGCTTGAAAAGACTGTTAAAATTGATACAGCCTCCACCCAGACTGATAAGAAAAAAGAGAAGACAAAAATGGTGAGTGTGAAGAACACAAGAGGTGACATCACTACAGATTCCAGGGGTGAGATGATAAAGGGATATTGTGTCAATTTTATGCCAATAAATTTGAGAACATAAATGAAATTAACAAATTATTTGAAAGACTCAAACTATCAAAGCTTACTTAGGAAAAATAGATTAACTGAATATCCTTATATAAATTAAAAAATAAATTTATAGTTTAAAGCATTCCCGTGAATAAAAGTCCAAGCCCACGTGGCTTCTTCACTAGTGAATTCTACCAAATACTTAATGAAGAAATAGTTCATCAGAAACTTAAAAATGAGGTAACACTTTCCAACTCACTATATGATACCAGTATTACCCTAATATTAAAAAAGATATGATAGGGAAAAGAAACTACATACCGATATCCCTCATGAAATGCAAAGAATTTATGCAAAGAATATAAACTAAAATGAACTTGGACTCATTCTTTCCACTACAGCTACGTGCAAAAATTAACTTAAGATCATAGATTACATGTAAAATCTAGCACTGTAAAACTTCTAGAAGAAAATATGAGGAAAAAAACTTATAAATCTTGGATAAGGAAAAAATTTCTTAAGTACAGCACCAAAAGCACAACCCATAAATTAGTAAATTGAACTTCATCAAAAGGAAAAACTTCTGCTCTTCAGAAGACATTTCTAAAAAATTAAAAAAACAAGCTACAGACTGGAAGAAAATAACAACTGGCATCTGATACGGGTTATATGCAGAACATATAAAGAATCCTTGTAACTCAATAATAAGAAAACAACCCAATTTTTTGAACGGGAAGAAGTTTTTTTTTGTTTGTTTTTGTTTGTTTTTGTTTTCTGTCTTTTTGAGACAGGGACTCACTATGCAGTTCAGGCTGGCCTTGAGCTCACTTTGTAGCCCAGGCTGGTCTCAAACTCGCAATGATCCTCCTGCCTCAGCCTCCTAAGTGCTGGGATTATAGGCATGCGCTACCACACCCAGCTATAAGATTTGAATACTTAACCTAGAATATATACATATGGCACATAAGAATATACTCAACATTATTAGTCATTGGGGAAATATAAATTAAAACTACAAGAAGGTACTACCACATACCTATAAGAAAGGCTAAAATTGAAAAGATTGATTATACTATGTTTTTATGAGGCTATGAGGGAACTAGAATTTTTGATGCAGTACTAGTGGGAATGTAAAATGGCACAACCACTTAGAATAAAAATACTCTTTGATCCTTTCTTAAAAAGTTAACCATATACCTCCCATATGATCCAACCATTCCATGGCTAGGTATTTACCAAGAGAGAAGAAAGCATGTGTCCATGCAAACTAGCAATTTTATTTATAATAGCCCCAAACTGGCAGCACCCAAATGCCCACCTATAGGTAAACAGATACACAAATTCTGTATATCCATCCAGCAGGATTGGCTCAGGACAAATATAAATCACTGATACAGGCAACAGCATGGATGAAGCCCCAGTGATTATGCTGAGTGTCTTGGTTACTTCTTCTCCTTGCTGGGACAAAATACCTGATGCCCAAAATTGTGGAAGGAAAGGTTTATTTTGCTTACAGTTTGTGGAGCTTTCAGTCCATACTTGGCAGGTTACAAGCCAGAGTGGCACATGGCAGAGGGCTACAGCTCATGGCAGCAGAACACAGCCAAAGCAACAAGCACTAAAAAGGGAGGAATGACCTCAAGCAGCCTGTTCCCCTCCCTTACATATGCAAACTATCTACCCCAGGGCGCGTGTAGCTCTCACACCCATAATCAATCAAACTCTGAAAGCCTGCCCCATGACCACATGAGGCTTTGGGGGGACACCCAGACACAAACCATAACACTGAGTGAAAGAAGTGGGATGAAAGAGAGTACAGACTATATGGTTCTGCTTACATATAAGTCTAGGAAAAGCAAACGAATAAGCACTTCCCATTTAGCAGTAATCAGGCCTCAGATGAACCTCGCTGGCCACCATACTGCTGCTGCACAGAGCTAGACTAGTAAACATTAACCAGGAATAGGTTGGCGGCTTCCTTGGGCAGGAATGATTTGGGGTGAGTGGGAAGAAGGAGAGAGATGCCAGAGAAGTGTGGGGAAGCCTTTTGGGATGATGGATGTCCTCTCTTCATTGTGGTGACTAATTAGTGGGTCGCATGTTTCAAGACTTACCAAATTACCTGCTTGAAATATGTGTGCTTATTGTACTCAGCTACACCTCAGTAAAGGTATTTTTAAAACAGCTAAATGGCTAACTCTAGTAGAGAGACATTTCTGTGTAACGCTGTTGCACTTACTGTGTAACCTTAAATAAGTGGTTAAACTTCTAGTTTCTCATCTAAAAAGAAGGAATAACATTACTTCCCTTGTAGGAGTGTTGTGACAATTAAAAACAATATGTTGGATGTATTTTGCACTAAATGGATTCTCAGTAAGTGATGGAGCTAGGATAATAATGCTTGCAAGAATAATGTGATGAAGGATGGCAGACACATGACTCTAACCTTCTGCTTGTCTGTGTCTGAGGATGTTTCTGGGGTGGTTGGGAGATTCTATTGCCCAGTTTCCTGCTTTCTCAGGTTATAGCTTCACATGTGGTGACTTGGAATAAGCATTGTGGTCGTGGTCGGATATGACCCAGCCCTTTGCCTCCCCCCTCCCTCCTCCTAGTCTGGCCAGAACTGGAAGGGGCTTGCTTGAGCCTCTGCCACTGTGCAGCTGACCCCCCAGCCATACCCCTAGAATTTTACATAAACGGGATCAGAATCTGTGCTCTTTTTTGTCCAGCTCCTTTCACTCAGCATGATTATTTGGATTTCATCTGTGTTGTTACATGTTATCAGTGGTTCCTATTTGTCCTGAGCTGTGTCCTGCTGCAGGGATGTGCCAGAGAGTGTGTATCTGTTTCTCTGTTTATGAGCACTTAGGTGGCTGACAGCTGGGAGCCAGTACAAATAAGTTAGTTACCCCTAGGCTAGTAGTCAGTCAGGAAGAATGTGGTGCTGGGAAGGTTGGAGAGACCCCTGCAAGCGCACACAGCTGGCTTCTGGCACGTCGGGCACCCCAGTGAGTGTTGGCCAGGGCAGCCCCTCACAGGGGAAGTCGTCTGTGCTGGCTGCTGTGTCCTTGCACAAATCCTGAGAGCTCTGTGGTAGCCACCAAGGATAGTGGGTGCCCAGTTCTGTGAACCAGCCAGCGAGGGGGCATAGGTCAAGGTGGGAGACAGTGAGCTGTAGTTGGAAGGAAAACATCAAAAAGAGGATGAGGAGATCTGTACCTGTGTGATTATTGTATTTGTGTTTGCAATCCCCAACCTTTCAGCACAGTGCGTGGCATGGACTTCGACACCAGTTAAAGTTTTCTGGGTGAGCAAGTAGGTGACTAAGGCTAAATGGAGATGGTGTTATCAGAAGTGGGGGTGATGGGTGATCAGGCCCTGCTGGAGCCCAAGGCTGAAAACAAGGGAATGAGCCTGGGGACAGAGGAGGCCTCCTTGCCACAGGTGGGGGTGACCAGCAGGTTGAAGAGTTTGACCTCAGACAGAGGGCCTCTTTTGGCAAGAGAGAGGTCCTTAGGCACTCTGCAGGCAGACATCCTGGCCCGTTCCAGTGACTACCTTTGGGAGGCACGTGTCTACTCCCCAGATGAGCTGTGCCAAAGGGAGACCCTTGTCTTGTAGTCTGTCTCCCAACCACCAATCAGCACCTGCTCTGAGCAGGAACTGAAGAGCACTTGATGGAGCACTGGCGTCCACTTCACTCTCCAATTCCTCCAACCCACAGTCATTCACAACACCAGGGAGCCAGGACTATAGCCGCCAGAACACAGGCAGGGGTATACACCAGAGCCAGTCTGCAGGAAACAGGTGTGCGAGCTGGTCACTTCGAGGACAGGGCCTGACCCCAGCAAGTTGTTGCTGACCCAGAGCAGGGCTACAGAGCTCAGGGCCTGTGAACAAGGAGTGCGGGCAGATGTGCCTGGGCTCACTGTACCCTCTGACCTTGCCCCCGTTTTTGAACCCTAGAACCCTCACCTGTGCACTGTAGATCATTCAGTTTCTGGAACCAATATGCAACTTGAGGAAAAGTCACTTCCTGCCAAACCAGAAGCCTGTTTCCCATTTGACCACCGCACTGAGGTCTGTGGCTGTTCAGTGTACCCCATTAGCCCCCTCCAGGGCAGCCTGGTTACTGACCCTAGTCCTGGGTGGGCTGTACTCCTCCCATCCAGGTACATTCCTAACAGGACCCTAAAGACTACGCTAAAGTGAAGTTTAAGCAAAGAAAGAGCAACATTTCCTCCTGCTCATGGAGAAGTGGGGCTTTCATCTGATCGGCCTGATCAGAGTACAAGTCCTTTGGATAAAGCCTTCTTTATCTGGCGCTCCAAGCTAGATAAGAAAGATTCCAGTTTCTTTTCTTTGCCATCCAGCGAAGGCGCCCACCTCTCCGCCCTCATGCCCTGGCTGCCCCCGCCCAGCTCAGAGCCTTGTTTCTCTTGCCTAGTGTGCCGGGCAGCAGCCACAAGGCCTGAGCATTGGACTTGGAGCCAATGCCCCTGCCCGAATGTGCATGCATTTCTGTGGCCGTGCCTGTGTGTGTGTGCGCGTGGACTTGCACGTGAGCACGTGTGACAAAAATCGCTTCTGGAGCATGTTGCCCTCTGTCTGCCCATCCAGGTTACTCCTCGCTGCAGGACGAGCTGCTGTCCCCTGCCTCCCTGCACTACGCGCTTCCCTCTCCGCTGCGCGCGGACCAGTATTGGAACGAGGTGGCCGTCATAGACGCCATCCCACTGGCCCCCACGGAGCATGACGCCATGCTGGAGATGTCTGACATGCAGGTGTGGTCTGCGGGCCTCACACCCTCCCTGGTCACTGCTGAGGACTCCTCTCTGGAGTGCAGCAAGGCCGAGGACTCTGATGCCACACAAGAGTGGAAGTTGGAGGGGGCGCTGTCAGAGGAATCGCGGGGCCCGGAGCTCGGCTCTCTGGACCTTGTGGAGGACGACACAGTGGATTCAGATGCCACAAATGGTCATGCTGATTTCCTTGCCCAGGAGGAAGGTCAGAGGTCACAAGAGAAGAGGCAGGAGGACTCCGCAGGTGCAGGGCAGGACTCAGAGAATGAAGTGTCTCTTGTTGCAGGCCAGCAGAGGGCGCAAGCCCGAGCCGCAGACTCGCCCTCCGTGAGTCCGGTGGTGCTGGAGAGGAGCCAGCACAGGTAAGGGTTGCACTGCGGCGGCGAGTGCAAAGAGTGATAAGAGTGCAGAACGGATGCTGAGGGCCTGCTTTGTTCAAAACATGTGGCACCTTCTGGCAACAAAAGCTACCGCGTATGCGTAAGAACGAGCTGTGATCTGGAAAGGCCACCTCCCTGGGTGTGGCCGGCCCGAGAGAGGCTGAGAGGCAAGGGGACAAAGGACGGCCACTCAAGCCCTGAGGGTTGGAAAGGCCACAGCTTGGGGGTGCTGCTGCAGTAGTACGGGTTCTCCTGTGTGCCTTGTGTATGAGACACCTGGAGACACCCAAGCCCAGGGAGCACGGCACGCATAATCACGCGGCCTGTATGTGCAGAGCTAGTAATGGTGCCTTTTCTCCTCATCATGTCGAGAGAGAGGCTGGTGGGTCTGTCTGGCAGGACAGAGCTTTTATCGGTTAAGCAGCGCTGTCCTCTCTCAGCTGCTGGGCTGTGAAAGCAGGTACTGTGCCTGGGGGAGCAGAGTTGGCAGTCCAGGCAGGAGGCTTCCAGCCCAGGGCCCAGGAGCCCTGTGAGCTCACTCCGTCCTGATAGTAGCCCCTGAGTGTAGACAAAGGCTTAAAGGTGAGATGGCCCCTTTTTGTGGCAAAGAAAGATGAGACAGACGTGAGCTAGGTGTCATTTGGCCTCCCCAGGCTGGCACAGGAAGTGGAAGACAGAGGCCCTTCCTGCATAATCTTTGCTTGGCAGGTTTTCTCTAAAGCAAGGAGATGGTTCGTGTGCTCTTAGAAGGCTCTAGCCACACACAGAGCTCCAAATGGACTAGGTTGGGTGAAGCAGTTCTCACTTCCTCTTCCTGTCCTTGATGCCCCTCAGGCCTAGGCCTTCCCCAGGGTCTATTCAGTATGGACCATAGTGGGCGAAGTCATTTAAAAGACAGGATCTGAACCAGGCATGCTGGCACATGCCTGTAATCCCAGTTTTCTGGGAGAGTGAGGCAGGAGGATCACAAATAAAGCCTAAACTAGGCAACTTGGTGGGACCTTGTCTCAAAATTTAAAAAGCTAAGGAGGTAGTTCAGTGCAGAGGCCCTAGATTATATCTCCCGAAAAACAAAAAAAGAGATGAGATTTGTTTGTGTCCTTTGATCAGTGGGGAGAGTGTTGGACAGATGGGGCTGTGAAAGTGGGAAGTGGAACACTGGTCATCCTCCCACACTCTGACTGTGGCAGCCCTTCCTCCAGCATGCATTTAGCAAATGCTCGCTGTATGCAGCCACATAGCCCTGAAACCGCAGGGTCAGTGACGGGGAGCCAGGAGGCCTGGGTTCCGGGCCTAGTTGTATCACTTCCTGGCTCCATGAGCTTGGTCAACCAACCAGTGTGGACAGGTGCATTTCAGTCACTGAACAATATTCACTGAGCAGCTACTATGTGTCAGGTACCTCTAAAAAATGCCTAGATGCTAGAAGATGGCAGTAGGAAAATCAGACAGAAGGCTCTGCCTGCAGGAAGCTCATGTTCTAGGTAAACTTAATGAGATAAAAATAAAATCTGAAGCACGATATACTTTCATATCCATGAGTTCCACATCACAGATTCCACCAGCCATGGATCAAAAGTACTGTACTAGGTAACAAATTGTATCTGTACCAAACATGTATAGACTTTTTTTCTCTTTATTGCCTGAGCAATACAGCATTTATATTGTGTCTGTTATGATAAGTCATCTACGCATTGTCTAAATTACAAAAGGAGATGTGCACAGGTTACAGGCAAATATCACACCATTTTACAAATTGTGATCAAAACACACAGTGAATGTTCCCATTTTTAAAATATATTACAATAAAAAATACATTGCCCTAATCCCCTTCAAATGCTCTCCTTCAAAGGGGTAGCACCCAGCTAGTGCATGTGTATGAAGAAGAGCATGCCCAGCCCAGGCCAACCCAGTGGAAAGGTGAGCAGAGGATGAGGCCAGGAGGCCACAGGGTCAGCTATGCTAGGCTTGAAGGTCCCCAAAGAAGTGTGGCATTTCCTGGGCAGGTTTTGAGCAGAGAAGCAGTGTAATATGGCCACTGCTTTGGGAAGAGCCTGGCATGGTGAGGCCACACTTGCTGGTGGTGTGGACCAAGAGGTAGTGGAGGTGGAAGAGCTTGAGTTCAGGAACCAGGAAGATTGCTGACGGATATGATGCAGAGTGTGAGAGTGAGGAGACAAGGAGGGCGTCCCCTTAAGGGCAGGGAGGAAGATGCTGGGCCTGTCCTCACTCAAGACTGCAGCGAGGAGTGGGCAGTGGGGGCATGGGTACATTGTCACATGCCCAGACCTGCTCAAGGAGATGGAGGTGTAGAAGAGGTGTCAACATACATATCTACACTTGATCTTAGCCAAAAGGTCAAGAAGCGATTGACATACATATTTAAAGTTCAAAGCCAAGACACAAGTGTACATCTGGGCTTGAGGAGTGTCCAGGTGCAGTTTAAAATGATGGATGGAAGGCAGTTACTTAGGCCATGGGTGGGGATAGCAAGGAGATCTGCTTCAGGGTGCAGACATCCAGGAAGTTAGGAGGAACCAGCAAAAGCCTCTGAGAAGGAGTGGCCAATGCAGGGTGGGCAGACATAGTATCAGGGAAGGCGTGTGTAGACAGGACAGTGGTCACCTTGTTGAGTGGGAGTGACCCAGGCACCAGGAAAGTTGGCGGCACAGTCTGAGGATGTCCAGTAATGGTATGAATGCCTTACTGTGAGGCCTGAAGGGAGCAGGTCACTTGAAGGGGAAAGATGGTGGCCTGGTGCCCATGGCCTCTCCACCTGGATGGCAGATGGTCCCTATGTGTCTCCTCACTGGGGTAGTTGGCTGGGTGGTTTGCTCATACTACCCCAGCCCTTTAGGGACAAGGACAAGACAAGCTGTGTCCCCATGAGCCAGGGCCCAGAAGGGGGGCTGTCTGGGAAAGCAGAACCAGAAGTGACCAAGTGCCCTTTCTGTCTCCCTGGCTGTGTGTCACCTCTCCTGGACTCAGACAACAAGACTGGGAATTAGAGGGATCCATTGCCTCCTACCTACTGGAGGAAGCCACGCAAGACCGACGTTCATCCCGGACAACACTGTCCACTGTCCAAGGGCCACAGCATGACAGGGTGCTGGTGTCTGCTGGCGAGCACACGTGGACGATGCAGCCTGCAACCCAGAGCTCCCAGGCTGGCAGGGAAGAAGGTGTGCGAGCAGCCACCTTCCTGCAGGTGAGAGCCCTTCGGCACTGCTGGCCTCCAATTCAGCTCCTGGTTCGCATGTACTCGGATGGCGCCAGGTGTTTCCTGTCTTTCAGAATGGCAGTGGTGACTCCACCTCAGTAAGGTTGGAAGGTCTCAGTCCCCTTTCTGCCTCCTCCCCCTCTGCCAAGGGAAAGGAGGGTTTGTCTAGCGCTGCTGCCCTCCGTTCCTACACCCCACAGCTGAGTGGCTGTGGTGCGTGGAATGGGTCATGCGGGCTCTGAGTTACAGCTTGAGTGATCCAACAGCTGTGGTTTTGGTGTCTTTTTCCCATCGTGTTTCAGGAAGGGCTTTAGAGCCAGGAGAGCTGGGCACCAGGCTGAACCTGGCTTGAGTGGCCTGAACAAGCCACCGGCTCCCCAGCACTCTGCATCGTTGCAGAGTGGAGTGCTCTGGCAGATGGTCCCATCGTTGCAGAGTGGAGTGAGAGCAAGGCAGGGTGGAGTGCTCTCCAGCAGGGCAACCTCTGGGTCACAAGGTGGTAGAAGAGAATCAGCCCTGCTCTGTCCTCCTCTGCTGCACTGGCCCTGCCCTCTCATCTTCCTGCCTGCCCTCCTGCCTTTCCTGTGCTCCCCATCCACCTCTTTGCTCTCTTAACTCCCTGCAAGCCAACCTTCTCCTTCCCAGGTTCGCAGTCCCGCCTCGCCCCGCCCCCGTGCCCAGGCAGGGCTCCTCTGGCCTCCCTCCCACATGGTGCTCTGGAGTGAAACCTGGATACACTGTGGACGCATGACCGTGATCTCTGTGTTCTCAGATCCGCACTGCTGTTCTGTGCACTCGCACTTTGAGCAAGAGCATCCCCTCATGTTCTGCACCGTTTTTGGTTCTTTTCTCTTCTTCCTCATCCAGGAACTGTTTCCTATGCCTCTCCTTCCGTTTTTTTCTTCCCCTCCCCCGCCTCCCACTCTGAGCCGGGCCCTGGCTCAGCCTCGGAGGACTTCTAGACCAAGTTGTCTCCCCAGGGCTTCTGAGCTGCTGGCTGAACGCAGTCTGGAAGAACGTGGGGTTTTATTTAGAAACCTCCCTGCCAAGTGTACAAGGCGCTGTGCATTTTAACCATGGACCACCCGGTGCCCCTAGGCTCTTTCTTGGTACCCCATCCTGCCCCTCACAGGAGCAAGCGTGTGGCCCAGAGCACAGGGGATCTGAACCGGGTCAGTTCTGAATCCCAGGGGCGGAGAGGGAGTCAGGAGTGTTCTTTCCTGCAGCCCCACTGCAGGCAGTTCTTGGAGAGAAGATGAGTGGGAAGTGAGACAGAAGGTAGGAAAGCCAAGTTGGGCTTCTCAGCTGTCCTGGGTTATAAATGGGGACACTGAGGCCCAGTGGCTTTCTCCAGGGTCACATGATGAACAAGAGCTGGAGAGTCCAGGTGGCTTGGTTCTTAGTTCCACATTCTTACAGGCAAAATGAGTACGCAGGGTCACCACGCCTGAAAACTGAGACCTTATGGTTCCCTGGTCTGGGGACACTCAGACAGGATCTCTGTTGGGAGGACTGGCAGGTGTCAGGAGAATGATAGAGAGGCCAGCTGGAGGCCCTAAAGCCCCATGTGCTAGGGTTTCCATTGATTCTCTGAAAACAGTGACAAGTAGAGATGCCAGGCCACATGCGTCTAGTGGTGAATCTGAAATGACAACCCAGGCCATTCTGCTGGCAACCTGGGTTGAAATAGTTGAAGGTAGGCTCTTCTGTTTAGTTTTTTTTCAGTATGGGGGATGGAACCCAGGCCCTTGTGCATGCTAGGCAAGCGCTCGCCACTGAGCCCCCGGCTCAGCCCCTAGACTCTGCTCCTGTGATGGGCCCCTGTGCATGTGCTGAGAGCTTTCCTTTCTCTGGGCCAATCTGGTTGGACAAGGCTGCCCTGGGCCTGGCAGGAGTTTGAAGTCTGACTCACTCACTTCCTTACTCTTTCCCCTGAACAAGTTGCTCCGACCCTCTTTGCTGATCTCCTCAATGGGAAACAGGAGACTGACTGAAGGCATGAGGTTTGACCAAGTTATGGCAGGAATCACACACACGCACATGCACACGCACACACGCGGTGCCTGCAGAGGGGGCCACATGGTGGGTTTATGTTGTTCTTTGTAGAGGTCATATTCAGATGCACTCTCAAAAAGGGGTAGGTGAAGCACCTCATCTCCCTTTCACAGATGGGGAAACTGAGGCATGGGACATGCCCCCTTGGAAAGTGGTTCTTGGGGCCAGTTCACTGCATTCCAGGTCTGTGTTCTTTCTACTCAGGAACAGCCTGACTTAGACTGTGAAATTCCTCCCACAGCCACAGGTGGGGCTGCAAGGAGGCAAGAGCCTTTAAGGACAGGCCCTAGACAGGCACACAGGTTCCCTGCGGAGTGGCTTTGTCCCAGGAAGGAAAGCACTGAGAGTCCGCAGGACCGAGTGACAGGCAGCCTCTGATGCCTGAGCCTGGCCTTGCTCCTCAGGTTGGGCCTGAACAAATCACTCACCCTCAGGGCTATTTTTGCAACACACCCTTCAGTCTCCAGGGTATTTGCAAGTCCCAGGCCTCTTGTGCAGGGAACGTGGTTCTGATCGCTAGCTAAGGAAACACAGGAGTAGTTGTATTCTCAGAATTCTTATTTTCTGGAGTCCCTGGCCCAGAAGCTTGACAGAGCAGGGTGGAACCCCCACTGTTTCCCACAGGGACAGGCGGCCAGCCAGGCGAGTGGGCCAGCACCCGCCTGCTCCAGGGTGACTTTGACATGTGCCTCCAGGCCAGGGCCAGCACCTGCCTGCGTCCTTCTAGCCCAGTGGGACAGCCCCTGCAGCTGGTTTGGGAGCTAAAATTGTAGGCGCCTGATGTCACCAAGAGTAGGGCAGAGGCTGGGGCTGTGCGTGCTTCTGGAGGGGCACTCAGGCCTTGCTGCTGCAGCTGAACTGGAGACAGCCTCTTGGGTGTCCTGCTGGGGAGAGGCAGAGCGAGGGGCAGAGAGGAGCCAGGGAGGCAGAGCAGGCAGAATGGAAGGGGCCATGGGGGCTCTTGAGAGTGCACGAGAACAATGAGAGGGCCCGCTGCAGTGGACGACCCCTGGCTGCCCTGGTTCCTGGACAGCCAGGCTGGTGAGCGGAGGTGAGGATGTGGACTTTCATCACCCAGCTCCTGGTCACCCTGGTGCTGCTGGGCTTTTTCCTGGTCAGCTGTCAGAATGTGATGCACATCGTCAAGGGCTCCCTGTGCTTTGTGCTGAAGCACATCCACCAGGAGTTGGACAAGGAGCTTGGGGAGGGCGAGGGCCTGAGTGACGACGAGGAGACCATCTCCACCAGGGTGGTCCGGCGGAGGGTCTTCTTGAAGGTAACCACCAGGCTGGGGTGCCAGAGGCCAGGGCGGAGGGGACCCTGCTGTCCCGCGTGGACTGGGGTGGGGAAAATGCCCCTGAAGCCAGGAGCTGTGTTGCAAAAGGACCGGGAGGGCCTTCAAGGGTCAGACGTGGCACTGGGCACCAGGGCAGTGCATGGAGCCCCTGGTGCTCAACACAGAGCACAGCTGAGAAAGCTCGGCCGTGCTCTTGTCCTGTGTGTGTCACCAACCAGCTGAGGGGGTGTGGGTAAGTCACACACAGGACAGCTGTCCGTAGCTGTGAAGCTGTAAACTTGTAGCCCTAGTGGCTCCCTTGCCTCTGCTCTTGGGGCCTCCTCTGGGAGCTCACGGTCTCATCCTTATTGTGCTCACTCCGGGACATCGTAAGGGTCAAGTCCAAGAGGCTCCTGAGAGCCCAGGGCCATGTTGCCTCCAGCCTCCACAGCGAGCACTGCCCACACTCTGGGAGCCCCTGCGTGTATGATTTTCCTGCCTGGAGGTGGTGGAGGGACTTCCTTATGTGTGTCTGTTGCTACCACTGCTCTTTTATTCCCTCCTCCTCCACTCTTATCCCCATTTACCAACCTTGGATTCTTTTCTCCTTTCTCCAATACCAGGGGAACGAGCTTCAGAATATTCCAGGGGAGCAGGTGACAGAGGAACAATTCACAGATGAACAGGGCAACTTTGTCACCAAGAAGGTGAGTTCAGAGAGTCCCCCGAGCTGGAGACAGGCAGGAGGGAGCTGCACCATAAAAGGTATTGGGACTCAGCTCAAGGCAGGGTCTCATGGTGGCCCTTACAGGAGGGAACTCTGTGGTCCCTCCTTCTCTGTGGCTGGGACCGCCATAGCTCAGCAGGAATGGTGCCGGTGCTAGAGCACAGGCCTTCTGCAGTCAGACATCGTGTTCCTCATGGCCTCCTTGTCTGGCCTGACCTGAACACCTGTCCCCTACTCCAGAGGAACAGCCCCCAGGAACCACCCCATACCTAGTTCCACAGTGCCTGGCCCTGAAAACAGCTGTTGGGAGAAGAGTGTGCCTGGCCTCCCAGGCCGCCTCTGATAAGAAGAACCTGGATACTCCCTGAACTGTAGCTCATGTTCACACAGCAGACATGATTTTGCCTGACAGGGGTCAGCCCCACACTACCTAGAGCCATGGTGGGGGAGCAGAGGAGGACACTGTACTTGTGTCCTCGGAGTGCTGTCATGGGAGGAAGAGCAGACCACACAGTCCTCTTTCCTTTGTGTGATCAGGGACTGTGTCTCTTTACGTCTTCAGCTCCTACTTCTCAGCACTTGGCAGATGTAAAGGGGAGCTGGGTGGGCAAAATGGAATTCCTATAGACGAGAAAGAAATACCCCTGCCTGCGACGGTGGGTGTCCGCAGGGCAGAGGGAAATATTGTGGGCTCTCAGTAGAGGTCAGCGCAGTGGGACCCTGATCAGGAAGTGCAATGCGCAAGAACCCTCTGCGGACCCCAGGCTCTCCAACCTGGTCCAGGCATGCATAGGGTGATGGCAGCGGGGAGCAATCCCTTTCTGGGTCCCTTGGGCAGGGTTTACCACTCCATCTCTCACTCCTGCAAACATGCTCTTGCTCTACTCTTCCTGGGTGGCTTGACCACCTCCTTCCCTCTTCCTTCACTTTCCAGACTATCCGCAAAGTTGTTCGGCAGATAGACTCGTCTGGTGCTGATGAGACCCAGGAACATGAGGAGGTGATTGTTGGGGGCCCTGTGGAGGAGGACACTAGTGTGCTGGAAACTGACCCTGATTTCATTGCAAAACTCGACAAGGTACTGAGGGGGCTGTGGTCCCTGGAGGCCACTCTTCCAATGGATCCAGAGCGCTCACCTGTGCTTGTACCTCCACCCAGCTGGGTCTGCACCTGGTCTCCCTCTGTCACCTTCCTCCTTGAGGACAGTGTCCCGCCACCTCAATGCTGTCCATCTCCCTTCATTTCTCTATTTTTCTCTCCTCTCTTTGCATGACCTGTCCTGCTTTCTGTCCCTGCTGCTGTCTCCAGGTGGAGTTGAGAGGGAGTGGCCTACAGCCGGACCTGCTGGAGGGCAGGAAGGGGGCTCAGATAGTCAAGCGGGCCAGCCTGAAACGGGGCAAACAGTGATCTCAAGCCTCTCTCCTTGCAGTAGCCTCTCGGGAGGTAATGATGGTTTTCTCCTCCTTTCTGCATGGCGAGGTCCTGGTTGACAATGTCATGGATGCACCAGTCCCACCTGTGTCCTCTTCTCCCATTCCCAGCGTGATGCAAATGACCAACGGGATTCCCACTGCCCATCTAGCAACCTGCCTAGGGTCCTCATTAAGAAAACAGAGACAAGCCCGTCTCCCCCTACTTCTCAGGGAGTGTGTGAATGCATTTCGGTTTGTTGTCAGTTTGGTTCAGTTTGGTGTTTGTGTTGTTTGGATAGAACCAGGTTCTCAATCATGGTAGGCACGTGCTCTGCCACTGAGCTGCATGTCCAGCCTTGTACAGTTTTGAAACAAACAATGGTTTTTGCAAAGCACTCCAACAATCTAAGTAGTCATGGAAACCAAGCGGTGTAGCTGTAGAGGTTGGCAGCCAGAGCGCTAACTGTACAGGAGTATCTCGAGTGTGGGCTGTGATATTTCAGGAAGGGTCCAAGGCTTGGGGTTGGGCTGTTCTTTGAACTTGACCCCAACTGAAGTGCTGAGTATCCCCAGGCTTCCATGCCTTGCTGTTCTGTGAACCATGCTGCCCCTTTGCTTTCTAGGAAGGGACTAAGTTGACAGGCTCAGGGGCAGGTGGCACCTCCGGAGCATCAGGAGGGTCACTGGGGTTGGGGCTGGGGTTGGTGCATGGCAGAGGGGCTGGGGTGGTGGCAAGCAGTGCGTGCCATGATGTACAGTGATGGTCTCTAGCAGGAGGTGCTGTGCTGGGGGCTTCGGCCAGCTCTGATCCCAGCCTCCCTGAGGGATCCTGTACTGAGCTGCCCCGAGGCCCTTCCCTGTGCCCCACTCGGGGCAGCTCAGTACAGGATGCATCGGGGTGGGAATCAGCAGGGAGCAAGGATGCACTGTGACCCAGCACAGTACTGAGCAGGTTGGCACTTTCCTTGGGCAGGGTCTGACTCTGGGGCAGCAAGAAGCACTGAATTTCTGCATTCTGCAAAAAGCAGGGCCTGCTGCCTCCTGAGCTGCCAGAAGTGCTGACTTGAGGCTTCTCAACATATCTCAGCACTTGGGCAAAAAGAGAGGCCTGGCAGATGCAGTCAGGATAAAATTAGATCTGACTCCTCAGCAGCTTAAGCAGGTCACCGAATTAACCCCAGCACTACCAGGGGCCCTGATGCTATTGGTGTAGAAGGCTGTGATGAACTCCCTTCCTGTCCCAGAAGGAACCAGGAGGTGCAAATAATTGTAAAAAGCACAGTGGAAAGAAAAGTGCTCTTCTGCCTGATTTTTCTTGTAGTAGCAGCAGCAGCTTTAACTTTGAGCACCAGTTGAGCTGAGGTTCTACCAGTGTCCCTGATAGGCAGCCAGTGGCTAGGCTGGGGGAGGGAGGTAACTTAAAGTCTGTTTAATTTGCTGTAGATGATCTGTGAAGAGGTTAAAAGCCCCGGAGGGAACCAGGGACCAGGCCTTGAGTGAGTGTCAGGAACATGGACAGGCTGGCTCCAGACAGCACCAGGCCCTCTGCCAGTAAGAGGCAAAGGGACATATGTGGTGGGGACAGTGCTGAGCCTGGCTCCTCCCTACATCCTGAGGACCCAAGGGTGGCCCTCCCAGCCAGAGCCAAGGCCTAGAGAAGACAGCAAAGGGCTGCAGCTCTGATTCTTCCTGCTTCTCGTCACCAGCCCACAAGCAGGTATAGTCAGTTGATACACATTTGCGACTCTGCCCACTTGCTAAAATTTATTTGTAACCCAAAGCCACTGCTCAGCATGCTTTTGTGGTCATTCACAGACACACGCCCAGCAGCAAAAGCTTCCAGTTGCCCAATGGGCATGTCTTAGTGAGGCTGAGCAAGGCAGTGCCCTGTGCAGCTTTGGCCCTCATGCTGTAAACAAGTGTCCCTGTTGTGTCTACAGTGAATGACACTTTGCACATTCCCATGTTTTTTCTTGGTGATCTCACTATTGGAAATGATCCCAGTTAGTGCTGAGGAGCTGTCCAGTGTTGTTTGTGCAAAGAGAGGCTGCAGGACCCCTTCCAGGAAGAACTGTGTGCCCCTGGCAGGTGAATTACGGTGTTGCTCATGTGAGGACAGTGTTGATGAAGCGGCTGTGCACATTAAACACCTTATCTTTAAACAGAAGCACATAGAAAAGGTTATGTATTCATGGTGACAAAATTGTGACCAAGGTTCACAGGAACTTAGACTTGTATTTCGCATAAGAGCAGTGGTTGGGTGTTCACTAATTCATTGTCCACACACCTTGAGGAACAGGACTGCTGTGGATAATTAAGCCAACTGTATTTGTTTCAGAGAATGAAAGCTGGGATTTGGGGGGGGGTGAAGATTCAAGGCCTGGCTCCTCCTATTTCCAGGTTGTGTGACCTTAACAGGTCATTTAATATCCCTGCGCATATCTTTTCCCCAAGGGAGGATGAAACAGCGCCTTCCTAATGTGTGTTACACTGCAAGAAAAAAGCTTACAAGAGATTTAGCACGGTGGTAGAGTGCATACTTAGCACGTATGAGGCCCTGGGTTCAGTCACTGGCATCAAAAAAAAAGTTCACAAGTAATTCAGAGCACTGCTGTAAAGAGAAAACAAGAACATGCAGAGTCCGGTCTCAATCAATGGCAGGTTTTATGCGCAGTGGCACTCAGGGCAAGTCGATCAACCTCCCCAGCCTCAGGTCCTTTATCCACAAAGTAGCAATAATGCCAATATTTTCCTTGTAGGATGACTATAGAGATCGATAAGATTATGTTTGTGAAAGGGCTTTACACACTGTCAAGTTCCATCAACAACCCTGTGTGACAGTCATGGGCGAGTCTTGTTGAAGAGTGGGTTCCTGGGTGGGGGTGTAGCCCAGTGGTGGAGGGCTTGCCTTGTGTGTATGAGACCCTGAACACCTTCTGCAGAACTGGAAAGAAAAAATTGTGAATTACTGGTTTCTGCCCCAGTCATGCTGGATTAAAATTCTGGAACTCAAGATTCCACACTGATCTGCTCAGGCACTTTTTATGCATATTGAAAAGTGAATTTTTAGGACTCATTTGGCTTCTCCTTCCCAAATCTCCTGAAGCAAGGTGGCACAGTTGTGGGTTTATGTCCAAAGGGGAATTGGAATGAACAATGGCTTGCTGTTTGTGTAGGGGTAGTTCATGTAGGGCATGCCATCCTGGGAGGGCCCAGTGGACTCCCCTGCCACTCCCAGCTTCAGGGAGGCTTGGGCATCTAGACCTGGCAATCAGGGCACTTTCTAAAAGATCAATTTAACAAGCTGGAAACTGCTATTGAGTCAGATGTCATGGTTTGAAGCAGGTAGCAGAGGCAGTAGTTCTGCTTTGTGGCCAGTGTTAGCCACACTGTGGATGTCACTGGGTCAGAGTGGTGGGCAGAGGTGCTGCAGGACCTGGGGTCCTAGCAGCCTGGGCAGGCTCTCTTCATCATGCACGGCTCAGCCTTGAGGGACCCTCTAGAAAGCTACAGATGGAAAAAGGCTGCTGTCTTTCCTTGTTTTCCTTTTTAAGAAACACTTTCCTTTCAGTGTGGCTGTAAGACTTGCATTAGTTCTGACAATAGAATGTTTTGATAAGTTTAAAATTAAGCAGTAGTCTGGACAGGAGGACATGGAACAGGCACATTCTGGTCTATGTGGAGCTGCAGTCCACCCCTCACCCCAGCACCACGAGGACATCAGCGTTGAGGGCTGAAGGAGAGCGGGGACAGTGTGTGGACAGGGGCCACTGCAGAGAGAGCATGAGGGAGACTCTGACTGGCACAGCACCTGGAGTGGAAGGGGTGGTTTTCTGAGATTTGACAAGGCGAGCCCTTTCTGAGAGCAGGGCCGGGGCAAGGCTATGTCTGGAGCTGGAGGCCTGGATGAACCAGAGGCATGAGTCTGCATCCCGCCCCTGCACTGCAGGCTTGCTCCAGCTGCACCTAGGTCTGCTCCTAAATCCATTTATAACCTCCAAGATGTGAACGTCTTCCCCTACTTGAAAGTGGGTCTTAGCCAGGCATGGTGTCACACGCCTGTAATCCCAGCATTCAGGAGGTTGAGGCAGGGGATCATTGCGAGTTTGAGGCCATCCTGGGCTACAAAGTGAGTTCAAGGCCAGGCTGGACTACATAGTGAGACCCTGTTTCAAAAAGACAAGAAAGAAAGAAAGAAAGAAAGAAAGAAAGAAAGAAAGAAAGAAAGAAAGAAAGAAAGAAAGAAAGAAAGAAAAAGAAAGAGTGAGAAAGAAAGAAAGAGAGTGAGAAAGAAAGAAAGAAAGAAAGAGAGTGAGAAAGAAAGAAAGAAAGAGAGTGAGAAAGAAAGAAAGAAAGGAGAAAGAAAGAAAAAGAAAGAGTCTTTCACAACTGCAGGGTTCATTCAGCCCCTTTCTTGAAGACATGCTTAGCACTAGCATGGGCACTATGGTATCTGTTATTTCCCTGGCCCTACAGTCCAGCCAGGGAAATGCCAATGCTGACACTGAAAAGGAAAGAGAACAAAGACAGTAGCATTTCCAGAGAGCCCAGTAAATAGTTCACATGCCGAGAATGTCCATGGTCCTACACACGTCACAGATCTGGTAGGTCTTGCAAACGTTACAGTGGTCTAATGAGGGAGGTTCTGCCACCGACCTCCTTTCACAGGGCGGGAACCGAGTCCTGGAGAAGGTAAGCAACTTGACCATGGTCAGGCAGCAAGTATTGGCAGAAGCAGGATTTGAACTTCAGCAGTCTGGCTTCAGAGGCCCTGCTCTGGACCATCACACACTGTGAGGTGTCAACAAAAAGGTGGTGGCATCCAGGGACAGCTGCGGAAAGGGTACCCTGAGGGCCTGGCAGGACTCTGTGGGGGGGACAGTGGGTCACAGCCTTCCAAGGGAGAATGGAGGCCACAGGCAGAGAGAGGGGATGCGGGGTTCAGAAGGTGGCCCCTCAAGGTGACAGCCCATCAAGCCGCAGCAGCAGAGCTGCCTGGCTCTAGGAGAAGCACCCCCACTCACTGGAGCTCTCCAGTCAAGCTCTTCCTGGTTACAATCCCACAATCCCAAGACCACTCTGCTCAGAGACAGCTCTCCTCCCTCAGAATGACTTGCTGCCTTTCTGTGTCACTTCCAACCCTACCCAGGGGCTGTTGATGCCTCTTCCTCCTCTTCCTTCTCTTCCATCCTCCCTAGATCCCCGCATACAGAATCTTGAGAGCCTGGTCTTGAAAACATGGAGTTTTCTGACCAGCTGGAAGGATGAGGCCTGGGGATAGGAGAGGGACTTGCTGTGAATCTCAGCCTAGGACCTGCCATGTCCAGGGAAAATTCTCCTGTCTCTCCAGAGAAGACTCCTCTGGAGCCCTGAGCCCTAGAGGCCAAAGTACTATCTGCTCCACCTCTGGGTCCCCAGGAGAGGCACACAGCAGACCTGAATCCTTGATGGCCAAAGCGGAATGAGCATATAAAGACTGCACTGGCTGGCCTGGCCTCTTTCTCAGAGTCGGCCTGAGCTCATGGAATGGCTCTTTTCTACAAGGAGGGTCCAGCGGCCTTCTGCCTGTTCTTGGGGTGCAGCATGCAGCCCTCTCCCTAACCCTACTCAGGTTTCCAGGGTAGTGGCCTCTGGGCAGGTAGCAGGGATGGACAGACAGGAGTTAAGGAAGGCCCGAGGGTGCAGCAGAGCACCCTTCAGTGCAGCTCCTGCTTGGGGGCCCTGTCTCAGCAGCCAGTACCAACCTCCATATTTGGAGTTTTTGCTAGGAGTTGTACCTTTAAATCCTAAGTGACTCTTTCTTTGTGTCCCGCAGGATCACACCTCGACACCCAACCCCTGACTCCATACACTCTGCCATGCACACAGGAGGAGTGCTGGACCCGAGGGCGACAGAGCGCTGCCCATGTCCCTCTAGGCTCCCAGCATGACCTCTGTGAGGGCTCCTTTAGTCTCCTACCGCATGAACGACTGGCTGTAGACTGCATGACCTACAGTCTGCAATCCTGCCCCAGCGACTGCGGGACTCGGGGATCTGTCTGCTGTCGAGGAGGGGAGAGGAGAAGGGGAGGGGACACGTGAAAGGGAGAGTGGGCGAATGCAAAGGGCTCTTTCCTGGCTGGGGATGGTTTGGGTTTTTTTTTTTTAATTGTTTTGATTTTTGACTTCGTACAGGGTACATTTTTTTCAACTTTCATCTGTAAAAAGTCTATGTGGGCTTCCTGGAAAGAAAAAAAAAACTAGGCATGAAATCAAGTTAGCACCTCAATCCCGTGTCCATCAGCGTGGCCTCTGCACTCACCTCCATTCTGTGTGCCACTCTTCCGGCCCAGGGGCCAGCCCCACACCAGGACCCCCATGGGCGCCTGCCCCTCTGGCAGCCACACACTGAGTTCACTGCGGCCTCTGAAGCTGTGTGGACCCAGCTGTGGATAAACTGGGATGTCTTTTCTTTTCTCTCTCTGCCAGTTTCAGTATTAATCATCTTCCAATGGAAAAATCATCACCCTGAGCTTGTATTGGGGTCCTTTGCATTAGGGGTTTAAGGGTCAGAAGCGAGGACCCCTGGCTTAGCTGAGGGCTCAGGAGCCAGGGTGGGGGAGCGCAAAGGTCAGCGGGAGAAGGGCCGGTGGATGCCCGGACCGCACCAGCATGACCATAGAGAAGAGGTTTTTCTAGATCTTCAAGCACTTCTACCATAGTCCGTGTCCAAAGTGTAAACTGTACAGTAATCAGCCTTGTGTATATGAAAAACAATAAATACTATGCAAACCACTAGAAACACTTAGCAGTACTCCGAAGCACTAACAGCTCAGCTCCCGGACTTCTCCGGCCTGCGGGAGACGGAGCTACAGGCTTTCAGTGAAGGAGCAGGAGGATAGGGCTAGTGAATGTAGCCGCCAGCCCCCAGCTCTCCCGGAGCCAACTTGGTGCTCGAAGTCCAGGCAGCCCGCAGGCTGGGGCGGCAGGTGGGCCGGGCTCAGCCCTCGCCCGGCGGGAAGGACAGCGGGCCGGGTGCGCGGGTGCGCAGGCAGGAGCCCCGGGAACAGCCTTAACGCCCCGGCGCCTCCGGCGAGGGCCCCAATCAGCACAACGCGGCCCGCGCGCCCGCCCGCCTGCCTGGAGGGGGCCCGCAGGCTGTTTTCGCGCTCCGCGGGCCCGCACCTTCCTCCCGGCCGCTCTGGGGCGTCCTCGGGACACCCCTACACTTTCCAAGTAGCACAGACGCCTCGGCCCGGGGCCAAGCCTGGAGCCCAGCTCACGCCTTCGGGCGGCGCCTCCCGGCCAGGGGCGTTCCCGGCCGCCGGGCGGGGCCGGCTTCTGCTTTGTGGGAGTGAGGGAGCAAAAAGGGCGCCCGGGAGAGGAAGTTCCGGCTCGTCCCCTGCTCCGGCAGGCAGACCCAGCGGCCCGGCCTCGCAGGCTCCCTCTGCGCAGTGCACGGCCCGCAGTGCACGGCCGGGACGGCCAGGCCCGGCCGCAGCGCGGTGTCTGGAGCAGCGGTGCCTCTCAGGCCGAGACGGCCGAGACGGCCGAGACGACCGAGGCCGGACGATGGGCAGAGCCTGTACCTTTCGCTCCCGGGCCGCGACCTTCCTGCGCCCCCGCGGCCCAGCCCCGCTTTGGCTCCTGCTCCGTCTGGCTTGGCTGCTTGGCCCGCCGGCCCGGCCCCTGGCGGCTTGGCTGTGCTCCGCTGCTAGTAGGAGCTGCGTAGGGGAGGACTTTGGGATCTCCACTCGACGCCTAGAGAATGCTGCAGTCTGCACATTAGACGCTTTTTAGAAGTTTTGAAATGACCTTGATTTTTTAATTGTTATGAAAAACGAATCGTTTCTGGACTCTCCCACACGCTCTGTTCCTGGGAGAACACCCGCCCCACCCACTCTGATGTATAGACCATTGTCCCTACACCAGCTGAACAAATGTCACATTAATAAAGAAACCGACTCATGGCGCAGCCGGCCATCTCTCCTTCCTGGTGCGTCCTGCAGGGTGCCGGGTGCAAGGTGCCGCGCAGGAGTGAAGTTTGGGTTGGGCAGTAGAGGGCCCAGGGCTGGGATAGAAGGAAGCTTGTACCCCAGGCAGCGCTCCTCCTCCCGGAAGCCTGGATTGCCCCATAATGAGGACGGGAAGAGGGGCGGGGAGCTGGTGTCCGCAACTCCGGGACCCGGCTCTCTGGGAGGAGCCCGGCTTACCTCCACTCAGCACGCCGGAAGCTGCCCTGGCCACACAGAACGACCAGCCCTGCCCTTAACTAGCTGGGCACCCACTGGCCTGTTTCTCCAGCTGCCAAATGGAAGAAAGTACTGTATTAAGTGGCCGCTGAATTCTTCCCACTGCTATCCTGGGATTCCCAGACACAACCATTTTGTCAACCTTGACATGAAGTAGAATGAATCGTATTTCATGATTTTCTTCCTCAGAAGTTTCTATCTTTAAGGAGTGCCCAAGTTATAGTTCCAAGGTCCCCAGAGCCAGCTTCTCCTAGGACCCACAAGGCCCCAGTCAGTGGTCACCCACTGTGTCCATGTGACCCAAAGGACAACAAATGCATTTCTACAACCCCACTTCCAGGGGTAGGGAGCCTTGGGACTCAGCTAAGCTGCTTACCACTAAGCCGAGTTAGACACATAAGAAAAGTTTTCTTCACTTTAATTTAAAAATTAAAGCAGCATCTGCACACTTTTTGGAAGTCTTTCTTGGGTTACCTGAAATCATCTATGCCACACAAGAGGGGCTCAGAGTCCAGCTCTGTGGGAGAAAGGGGCTCCCCTGGCCCTGGGCCGAGATGCCAGCAGGGCCTCTTATTCCCCACTGCCAAATCCCAGACCCAGGCTAGCAAAGTCCCTGCAGAACCCGTGGCCCAGTCAGGACAGCTCTGAGGCCATCAGACAGAGGCAGGGCAGTCACAAGACATTTTTGTCATTGTGTATGTTCAGGCAAGGGGTACACCTGCTTGTACTTTTAGAGAATAACTTCAGGAAAGAATGCAGGACACAAAACAAAAATTACACCAGTTCCTAGAAAGCAGGTACCCTGTACCTCAGTTTCCCTGACTGTAAAACAACAACTTACCCCAGCAGTGCTTTGTATGCTATAAAAATTCAGTGAAGAAAAGCAGTATGTGGGAGCTCTGAGTTTCACACCTGTCCCAACCAAGTGCCCAGCAGCATCAACCCCAACCAAGTGCCCAGCAGCATGGCTCCACTACTGAGTCAGGGACATCTCAGCATCAGAGATTTCACGCCAGACAACACTGTCCACTGCCCCAGCAGAGACCTGTATGCCGAAGCGATTCTAGCAAAATGAGTCAGGAAAGGCTGCCCCACGGCAGAGAGGGCAACCTCTCAGGGACAGTAAGTAGGAAGATGCACCCTCTCCAGAGCTGCCTCAGTTGCCCACTCTGACTCAGTCTGCCCAGCAGGCCCCCACAAGGCTCTAAGTCAGGATAGGGGGCCCCCCACAAGCAGGCATCCCATTTTACCCCCCTTACCTGATCCAGGCACTCAGGAGGAAAGGGAAGCAGGCTGGGGCCTCAGCCATGCAGAGAGAAAGGCTGGGACAGCTCAAGCCAGGCACCCCTGAACCTGGCCTCCTTACTCCAGGGAGCAGCTGCAGAGAAGCCTCCAGGGACCTCAGACACCCACCTTCTCTTAGGGGCCTCTGGCAACAAGCAGAGCTTCTAGAGCTCATTCTTTCTTCTTTCTCTGCTTCTTACACACACACACACACACACACACACACACACACACACACAGGCTGATTTTACAGTCAATCTTTCAAAGTGCAATTTGTCTAGGAAAAGCCAATGTGAGGCCCGTGTGGGCTCCGACCAATGGCAACGCGGCTCACCCAGCTCAGCCAGTCTCTGCTCCGTATTCTAATGGGCCATATCTTTATCAGGGAAATGTCCCTTCTCTGAACTTCAACTTCTCATGGAGGATCCCCAGACTCAGAAGCAGAGGAGGGGGCTGTGCTGAGCTTGGGCAGGACCCTGGCCAGGCCAGGGCAGGCAAGAGGGAAGGAGCGCTGGGTGCCGGTGGCACCTTCCTGGGGGTCGTTGACGAGGGTGCCTGGCGACCAGATTCTTTAGGTGCACTCAGAGGATCAGGCAGCTTCTGACTCTCCAAACCTGCCATGACACTCGGGGCCAGAGCCTGGCATCTCAGGCTGTAGGAGCCTGGATTTGGGTTTCTTGCTTCCCGCTGCCTGACCTGGAGATCATGGAGTCCAACCTGCAGGGGACCTTCCTGCTGAACAACACACCGCTGGCCCAATTCTCAGAGATGAAAGCTCCCGTGTGTCAGTACTCCATGCAGAACTCCTTCTACAAGCTCAGCCCCCCGGGGCTGGGCCCCCAGCTGGCTGCCGGGACCCCCCATGGAATCACGGACATCCTCAGCAGGCCAGTGGCCACGCCGAATAGCAGCCTCCTTTCCAGCTACCCCCACATGGCCAGTTTCAGTGGCCTTGGCTCCCAGGGGGTCTACTATGGCACCCAGGTGGGTAATTTTCCCAAGTCTGGGAACGAGTACCCCACGCGGACCCGGAACTGCTGGGCAGACACAGGCCAGGACTGGCGCAGCGGGCGGCAGTGTGGTGACGGTGAGTACCAGGCAAGCCCTCCCAGCTCTCTTGAACTGAGGGGGCCACCTCCCCTAGCCTGCCCAACTTGGACACAGGTATACACGGAACCTCCCCTCTCCCATCCCACCCAACCGTGCCATGCACAGCTGTCTGACCCCTGCCTCAGCCCACCTGACCCACCTTAGCACGTTCCTGGGGACACAAGAAGACCACATAGCCCACCCACACATGTGGCATCCAGCTGCAGCCCCTCCCTACTATGCCCAGAGCCCTTGCCACCTCTAAAGGGGACAGTTGCCATAGTGTCAGCTTTCCGAAGAGCCTACTCACACCTGGAATCATTCAGAGCCCACTGAGGTCCTGCCTGGGAGAAAGGAACCCCCTTCCCACCCTTGCCCTGGGGTTAATAGCAATAGGAGGAGCAAACAGTCTAGCTCCGGGAACAACAGCTGAGCCAGATAAGGCTTGGGAAATCCTCATCCCACTCACCCCTAGCCTGGGCTCTCAGAGAACTGGAGGCCCAGGTCCAGTCAAGGAGCAGAGGTGGGGCAGGAACATATACAGGCAGGCAAGGCCTACCCAGAGGGACAGGGAGAATGACAGTAGCTTCCAGAACTATCCCTGTGCCACCAAAACTGTCCCCAGATCTGACAACGACAGGAACTCCTCCTGAAATAGGAGCCTGAAGCCAACCATGGAAACATCTGTCCCTGGACCTGCTGTGACACACTGGAACCTATTTTACAGCCCCATTTTGGGGATGCTTTAAATCTCCAGCTGTCTCCCCATTACCTCATTTTCTCCTTGCCACAGCTCCACACCGTCTTTACCCTTTCTTCTTCAATGCTGAACACACACACACACACATGCACGCACTCAACAATGGCTCAGACAGTCAGTGGTGAATTAAGGCGTGAGAGCCTCAGTCTCCCTGCCTGTTGCAAGAGGAGATGGGATGTGGGTTGCCAGACATGTAGGGATTCTGCTTCCTGTGAGCCCTGTAGTTCCCAGCTCCTTCCTGAACAGGTTGCCCTGGCAGACAGGATTCAGGTCAGGTGCCCTGTGTCATCATGGCCGTGCAACAGGGAAGTAGGCCCTGGGACTGGAGACTTCTTGTTTTCAAAGAAACAGGAAACTGGGGTCCAGGATGGAGGAAGTAGGGAGGAATCCAGGCTCCTGGGCCATGGTTGTGGATGAAGGGTGCCAATCCTGGTCTTGGCATGAAGGGACAGACTTGTCTCGGTGTCTTGCAACAGAGAGGAAGTTTCTGCTGTCCCTGGGGGAGGCAGCAGCACTGAGCAGTGAGAACAGTAGACAGAAAGGCGTGAGCCTGAGTAGCTAGAGGCTGGGTGGCTGCCCTCTTCGGGCCCTGTTGTCTCAGACACGGCAGAGGTCACAGTCACTGTTACCTGTGCCCTGTGGCAGAGGCAGGACAGGGCTGGCATTCTGCAGGCAGGGCTTGGTGCCCCATCCTTGCTAATCTGCTAACCCACTTCCCTCCCGCCTGCCAGCCCCAGACCCCCTGAGTGACAGCGTCCACAAGAAGAAGCACACCCGGCCCACCTTCACAGGGCACCAGATCTTTGCCCTGGAGAAGACCTTTGAGCAGACCAAGTACCTGGCTGGCCCCGAGAGGGCGAGACTGGCGTACTCCTTGGGCATGACCGAGTCACAGGTCAAGGTGAGTCTATGTGAGAGAAGGTGTGTGCCTTGCAGAGAAGCCCCTGTCAGAGACAGCACAGGGAGGCCACTCCCAGCTCCTTGAGCTGTGGGACACCAACCTCACGCTTTCCCTACCTCTGCCAGAATCCCTGCTGCAGCAGCAGTCTCTTCACCAGATTAGAAATGGATTCTGCTTGATCCACCTGACAGCAAAGGAAACTGGCCTCAGTTTACCAATTTTTAAAATGATGGTGCCTCCTTCCACTCACCCTCCTTGAAGGGTGGTGGAATGGACATCAGATGTAAGTGGCCGGGTGGCCCCCATGAAGGGTTAGGAGGGTAGACAAGTTCTTTCTGCTTGACACTAGACTGCCTTAGAGACACCATTGAAGGAAGCCAGAAGCCACCGGCTCAGGCTTCCAGCTCAGGTTTGGGATCGCAGGTTTCTGGACGGATCCAGGGCAGATTGGGACCCAGGTCTGGGCTTTGCACAAGTTACCAGCCTCTGGGACCAGCTCCTCGGCCAGATTCCTCCAAGTGTGAAGGTTGATGAACAGAGCAGAGGAAACAGCATGGCCCCTCTTGCGTGTTTTTCTGTCTCTAGATATCTGCAGGCTTCAGCTCTCTCAAGCAATGTGCATGTTATTAGGAGGAGACCACTCATGAAGTTCAGTGAGGGGCTTCCAAGCTAAAAGAGGAGAGACGGTTATTTCATTATTTTAATCTTATTTGTTTCAGTACTGGGAGTGGAAGGCAGGGCCTCTTGCATGCTAGGCAAGCGCTGTCCCTGAGCCACAACCCTGGCACAGAGGACTTCTCCGCACCCACTGCTGTGTAGCAGCACCCAGCCTAAGCCTTCCCACCCTTCCGCCCGGGGTCTTTCAACATCTCCTAACCAAGGGCCCCAGACAGCAAAGGAGGAGGAGGGGACCCCGCCGGGTTGCAGCCAAGCCGAAAGGACTGCGGTGCCCCAGCGATGCGCCCCTTGCCGTCCCGCTCCCCATGAAGCCCCTGAGGTCCCTGCGGGAGCAGGGTTCCCCTAGCCCTCGCCGGGCGCCCCCGAAACGGCTTGCTGTTCCCGGTAAGGCGGCCCTCTCGCCCCAGGTGTGGTTCCAGAACCGCAGGACCAAGTGGCGCAAGAAAAGCGCCCTGGAGCCTTCCTCCTCCACCCCGCGGGCCCCGGGGGCTGCGGGCACTGGAGGGGACCGCGCCCCCTCGGAGACAGAGGACGACGAGTACAACAAGCCCCTGGACCCCGACTCGGACGACGAGAAGATCCGGCTGCTACTCCGCAAGCACCGCGCCGCCTTCTCGGTGCTCAGCCTAGGCGCGCACAGTGCGTGAGGCTCGGTGCGGTCCTGTCCTGCCCTGCCGAGCCTGGCTGCCCTTCCCTCCCGCGCGCCTGGCAGCGGAGAGGCTGGAAGCCCCGGGGAGGAGAGGGGCGGAGGACAGGGTGACCACGCACACGCCTCCCGGGGAGGGAGACCTGCACACCGCCAGGCACGGAGACGGCTCTGCCACTGGGAGGCTTGAAGGTGGGCCCAGGACCTGCTGCTGAGACCCCAGGTGGGGGCCGCCTGCTGGGAACCAGGGGACAGGGCAGGGGCCAGAGGCGGAGAGGTGGAGCTGCTCTCCAGGAGCATTCCTCTTCTGGGTGCAGGATCAGTCCATCCCATAATCTAGGCTGCACAAAACCACCTCTGCAGAGCACGTGGGTCCAACCTTGACCCCCGCCCCCACTGAGCCCTGAGCTGCAGGGTCTTCCTCCCCTCTGTCCACCTTATTCTCGCGGGCTGGAAAGGGGAGGTTGCACAGTGGGCTGAGAAAGGAGGAGAGATCCTAGAGCGATGCCCTGCCTGAGAGTCCCTGGGCACCCCATGTGCCCAAGGACAGGAAGGCCCAGGACAGGAGAATGCCCTGAGGGGAAGGGAGAAGAGGCTGGGAGGGCCCCAGACACCCTGCTTCTCCTGCTGGAGCACCAGACAGGGAGAATGGCAGGGAGGCCCCAGACAGACTAGCCCCCTTTCCTGGGATCACCCTTTGGCCTGGGGGTGGAGCTGCAGCCAGTGGAAGGCACCAGCACAGGTTGTCTTCTACACCCCAGGTGACAGGAGCTACTGGCAGGTGGGGTGGGTGGGCTGGGGGAGGTGGATGGGGCTGGCCACACAGGAGTGCACCCCAAAGGGGCCATGAGTCAGCCCATCCTCACTGGCTTTAAAAATACCACGAGTACAAATAAAAGTCCCAGAAACCTTGCCATGGCTCCTGCATTTTTGTGGAAGGAATAAGTCACAGCATGGGGTGGAGGTGCCCAGCTGTGCCAGCTGTGGGGTAGCTGGTGTCCTGACTCCCAGGTGCAGTCAGCCCAGCTACAGCTGTCACTGATGGTCACATGACCAGACCAATCTCCATCTCACTGGTGTGTGCTAGGCACAGTTCCATGTGCCAAGAAAGCTAAGACAAATTCAAGGTGTCCCTGACCTCCAGGAATTCTTGGCCTAGGGGGAAATTATTTGTAGGCCACTCAGGCACTAGGAAGAAGCTGAGGTGGAGCGTGGAGGCACTAACATGACTTGGACACCTACTAACTTCTCCTGGGTGGAATGCCTGGGCTGTCCCCAGTGGCCCCTCTAGAAACCTAGGAGGTCCATATTCCTTTCAGTGCATGGGTGTTATGTTTACTTCTGGATGTCCCCCAAGAGCCTCACACGCTCATAGGTGAGGCTTTTGAAGGTAACTGAATCACAGTGCAACATAGCTGACTTGATTTATGAGGCTCAGAAGTTCCTATATCAAGTCACAGGAGTAGGAAGAGGCCCTTCCAGGACAGTTTCTGAGGCCTCGCATCTCCTGCCCTGGCAGCTCCCTGGTGGGCTATCCATTCTTGAGACCTTAAGGGCACAGGGATCTGTGCTCACACCCAAGGCCCAGGAGCTGAAAACAGGGCTGACCCCATGACTGTGTGCATACCGCCTCCCCATCTCAAAGGCTCCCAGGGCAGGAGTGTCCAGGCTGTAGGGCAGCTCAATAGGGAACAGAAGGAGCCTCTTAGAAGGGGAGGCAACCCCTTTCTGTGAGCCCTTTAGTGGTCCCAGATGATGGGACAGGAAGAAACAGACTGCTTTGAGACTCTAACCCACACTCTTCCAAGACTCTCCAGCTTAGCAGGTGGCCCTCCTCCTCCAGAGGAACAGCATGTAGGGATGGAGCACTCTCCATCTCTCTGTGCCCTGCCAGGGCAGGCAGGGCCTCTCTGAGCCCCAGGGGGGAGCTTGCTGCTCACTAGGCTGTCAGGAGGTGCGCCCTGCAGTGGGTGGGCAGTCAACCAGAGAATTCATGAACAGCCCAGGCTACAGAGGAGAGATTCCGGTAGACCTGAGAGCCACGGACATACACAACAGACAACCCCTTGGGAGGCCATGGACCTAATGTGGGTTCAGCATCACCTGAATGGAAGTAGATGCCTGTGACATTTTACAAATGTGCTTGTTTCCTTTTATTTTTAAGCATATGACACTCTTAACTACTTATTACAGCAATAATTCTTGCGTGTCTGATTCAAGTCGTTTGGAGTTAGTATTAAAGCAGAGTGACAGTGAAGAGAACAGTCTATATAACCTCCCTCCTCTTGGCCTCAAGAGCTCTAGAACAGCTGAAGTGGTGTTTGGAGACCACCACGAGTGGGAGCCTGGGAGCAGCAGGCTGATGGCTGCATATAGGGAGTGGTGTGCAATATTCACTCACCTTTCCAGAACGAGCCTGCGTTTCAAGTCCTGATCGGCGGCAGGGAAGGATTTTACCTGTATTTTGATGGGAGGAGTTTAGTCCTGACAGATGGCAGCCTGCACCTCATGAGCACAGAAAAGTTACACAGGAATAATATGCACTACATTGTGCAGCAGCAGTGCTCTCAGCTCAGTAAAATATGCGCAGAAAAAGGCGAGGACGTCAAATTGAAGCCTGTGGGCATCTGATGTGCACCTCTTACAGCACAGCAGGAGTCAGATGGCCAGAGTTGCTCCTCCTGTTGTGAGAGGATGGGACCGGGCCCACAGCTGGGAGTGCCTTTAAGCCTGCTGATACTAGACTTGGATGACAATAGTGTGAGAGTGTAACTCCCAGTTCGGCTCTCCAAGACCCCTCCCCACAACAAGAGAAGCCCAGCCAGACCCTCTCCAGACCCACACCTTAGCCTGTCAGTCAGCACCTTCCCACCTGGGCAGAGTCCAGCCTCCCTAGGCAGTCCAACTGGTTTACTAGTCTTCACTTCTGGTGAGGAAACAAGATAAGACACTCCCAGCACCTTTGGTGAAGGAATCTGGCTGCTGTCCACACTGATACTGGCCCTGAGGAGTCAGTGATGGTCTGGTGCTTTTCTCTATTACCCCAGTGGGGAGTTCATGCCTGGTTGGGAGACAGGATTTTGACACTGCTTCTGGTGTCACATGGTGTCACAAGTAGGTGTCCAAGTCATGTTAGTGCCTCCACGCTCCACCTCAGCTTATCTTGGAATTGTGCCCATTGCGCCAAACATGAAGCCTGCAAGTTTCCCATGAGAGTGGCACCCCGCAGGTCTCATGCAGCCACTTCTATCTCTTGACGAATGAGGTACCAGCTTTCCCTGTCATCATTACAATTACTTGATTGTTTCACCCAAATGGCAAGGCATAGCAAAGGCTACAAGCTAAAAGTGGCAGCAAAGGGGAAAGCTATTTGGGAGGCTCAGATTCACACATACAGTGCATGGCAGAAAATAAACTCATTAAAAAACTTGTTCAGAATCTACAGCAACCTTAGTAAGATAGCTATAAAGACGTAACCGTAGTAAGGATACACAAAAGAATAAGTACCACCTGTACAAAGCCTTTGCCTACCAAAGAGTTGGAAATGCCCATCGGGTGTGGGAGGAGCTGGTACATGTAGCCCACACTGGCAGCAAGCACCACTTTGCCTAGCTTGGGACTGACATCAGCTCAGTATCTTGAAACACACCCAGTTCCGCCATGAGGCTGCTGAAAGTTGATAGCAAAGATTAGGGAAACCAAAGCACTTTTGAAGCTATATTGCTTCAATTTTCATCTAGGTGTGTTTATATTGACTAAGGATGAAAAACATGACTGTGATGCATGTACCAATGCTGTGGCATGGAAAAGGATGCTATCTTTACTAGTTTTGACTGCCACCAATACTCAGTTTGTAGAGAAAACCATCTTGGCCTTTGGACAGCCAAGGATCAACCCTGCAGCCTATTCCTACTTTGCATACATCCTCCCAAGCCTTAACTCCTCCCACGGTGGGACACCCAGTGTGCCCCAGCAGTTCCACTGCTCCCCTCCATGGTGCTGTGCTCCTTGATGGCATCCCACCAGAGGGCTGTAGAGACCCAAACACCACAGGAGGCAACTGTGAACCCAGGCAGGCTGCGCTCCACACACATCTGTCACAGTGATCTAGTGCTGCTCTAGAGGTCCAGAGCCACCCCAGCACGGATATCTGGGAAGCTGTTCAAGCTACGGAACTAATCAACTACCCCAAAGCCAGAAGGGAATGCAGCCAGGCTGCTGCAGGGCCTCACAAGACCATCGCTGAGAGAGAAAATACCCCTGTGAGGGTAGAGGGGCCCAGATTCATTGGACCTAGACTCCCTGCAGCACCGGGGTAGCCCAAAGGCTTCCTCTGCCTCTTGCAGACCGCACCTACAGCAGAGAGCTGATCTGCTCAACAATCTGAATCCCACCCATGGGCCATGGAGGAGCTGTGCACTGAAATAAAAGCAGTACTGTGCCGGGTAGTTGAAGTAATGGTGGCAAGGAGAGCTGACCTCTAACACCATCAAGAGATGAAATTAGGATAAAATGGCAGAGTACCTGACAGAGTGTGTTATGGAGACATTCAGAGGGACTACTGAGGTACATCTATCTCCCCTTCAGAGCTGGGGGGCACTGCTATAGAGGTCAATCCATTATTGTAGCCAAAAACCTTCCAAACTTTCTCCGGGATGCCTCTTTCAGCGCAAATTACAGCCAACCTACATATCTCTTTGCATGAGTTTCACTCCCTGCAAACCTTCTGCAACTTCCTTTAACCTTCTGAGTTTCAGGGCAAAATCTCACCATGCAAAATGTTTTCTTATCCAAAAAGTTATCTCTTTATATTCATCTTTCTTTACATCTCACACATTTCCTTCCCTAAATCTATACTCTGAAACAGTTTCACAAAATTATAGTCTAGACAAAATCACTTTTCCTCCAACAAAATAACATTTTATGCCTTCCTATATCTTTCCCATCAAAATAAAGCCTAACCTCCCAGTATGCAAAATTATACATGCATATTAATCAGAATTTTTAACCCAGGAAAAAAGCACTCCTGAACAATATTTATACACACCCACCCACACTTTATGATTTGAGTATTCCCCATGACGGGGCAGGGGCTACACCTCAAAGATGAGACAGGAGGGCCTGATACTGCAGTAGATGGCTCTGTCATCCACTGAGGTCCTTTTTGCCTTTAAGACAGCTTGCCCCTGATGAAGAATCCCTGTTATTATAAATTTTGAAGGCTTCTACCAGCCAAGGTCTAGGAAGGATCAGGGTCCTGCCTCAAGCTTTGGTAACTTCCTCCTGGTATCTGGGCAGACTGCATTTTAAAATGCATGGCCATTAGGGCCCTCCCTTCTGCGGACTCTGATTTGGTATTAGTTATACTTCGGAAAGCTTCCAACAAGTGATTTAAAAGTACAAGATTTTCCTCACTTTCTTGTTTTGCCTCTTTGACGCTCTCATAATTGACAGGCTTAACCAGACGCCTTCCAGTTCCTTCTGGAATACAAGTCACAAAATGTTGCGTTTGCAGTGGATCAGGTTTCAGAATCTCACTTAGGCTCTGTGTGAGGGACCTCAAATTCCCCAGGCCTCTTGACACTGTGGTCTGCAGGGTTCACTGTTGATCTATGGGCTACTTCTGCAGCTTTTCTAAGACCCTGTTCTTTGTCATCAGCAGTGAAGCAATAGGGGCTGGGGATACAGCTCAGTGACACAGGCACCTGCTTGGCAAACACAAGGTATTGAGATCAACTTCCAGGACAAAAAAAAA